GTCTGGTTCTGTGCGTGAGTACACGTGTGTGTGTGTGTGTGTGTGTGAGAGAGAGAGAGAGAGAGAGAGCGAGCGCACTCGTATGTGTCTGTATGTGTTTGGTTGGTTTGGTTTTGTTATCTTTTTGCTTTTTGGTGTTTTGTTTTTTATTTATTTATTTATTTATTTTTTGAGATAGGGTCTTCCACTACAGGCTTAGTAGCCTCTGCCTTCACCCACCCCTCCATTACCATAGGCCCATAAGACTAGAAAGTTTTAGCTGGATGGTAGTGGCACAACTCATTAATCCTGGCACTTGGGAGACAGAGGCGGGTGGATCTCTGAGTTCAAGGCCAGCCTGGTTTACAGACTGAGTTCTAGGACAGCCAAGGTTACACAGAGAAACTCTGTCTCAAAAGAACAAAATAAAACAAAACTTGCAAGTCTTAGACTTAGCTGTTCTGAGCCATATGAGAAAATAAGAATGGGGGCTTCAACCCCCAGCAAAAGCCACAAGTCAGAAGCCCAGGATGGAGGTACATTTCTGTAATTCTAGTGGCAGGAAGACTGTGAGTTCAAGGTCAGCCTAAACTACGTAGTGAGGTCAAGGCCAGCCTTCTCTACACAGTGAGGTTAGTTAAGGCCAGCCTGCTCTACACAACAAAGCTCTCAGCTCAAAAAGCCAGAAACAAGGAGTCTGGCACAGTGGTAGGCGCATGTAGGAGACAGAGGCAGGCAGATCTCTGTGAGACTGAGGCCAGCCTAGTCTACAGAGTGAGTTCCAGGACAGCCAGGGCTACACAAAGAAACCCTATCTTGAAAGATAATCCAGAAACAATTAGCAATGTGGCTTACTTTGTCGAGCATTGCGTGACCCGGAGTAAACAGGGGGTAAGATGACCGCATGAGAAAGCAGGGTACATACAGCCATTGAAATGTGACCCATGGGAATGCTGGGGAGCAGTGACTGACACTTGGGCCTGGGAGATGGATACTCCCGGGGTGGGGAGAGGACTGAGAGTAAAACCTTCCAATTCTTCAGCCCCCCGCCCCCCGGAATACACTCACCATTAACAACCCTATCCATTTAGAGGCCAGGAAAAGGAAGGGCAAAGTTTATTGTTGTTGAGAAGCCTCCTCTGCTGTCACAGCCTTACCTGGCTAGCCCAGGTAAGCCCTGCTCCTCCAGATGCAAATAGCCTTCCCTCTGGGACCCAGGAGCACAGGGATGAAGGTGCAAGGTGGGGACTTCAGATGTCATGGACCTAGGTGTGCCACAAGATCAGATTTGCTGGAGGAACGTCTAAACGTTTGCGGGTGTGGTCGGTCTCCCTGCGGTACAGGTAGCCACAGGTGGGCTTCTGCAAGGTGTAGAAGGGGTTCAGAGAGTTGGAATACTGGGAGGTGTAGAAACTGAACCTGCTGTTATCCGGGTTCTGTCCCCGAGGATCCACCACTACAGGCACAAAGGCTGCCGCCAGAGATTGCTCTCGGTCTCGCTTCCACGTCTGTGACAAGGGCGGTGGTGGCGCCTTCACCTTTTTGCCTGATTGCATCTTTTGCCCATGGCTGGGGATTGAGGATTTTTGTGAGTCCTGAGGAGAGAGAATGAAGGAGAAAGTTGGCAGGCCTGAAAACTGGGGACTCGGACTTTGGTTTGCTAAAGCCAGGACAAGAAGGAGAATGGGCCCCTTGAAGAGATCCCAGAGCCACCCTGGAACACAGTTCTGCAGGCCAAGTACCAGAACCTCTAGAGCAGGGGAAAGCCTTCAAGTCCCCTCTCCTGGTCCCTGCTTCTGTGGACTTCTGCCTAACTGTCAGAGGCACCTGCCGGGTCAGAAGACTGGGAACCCAGTTGCTGGCTTCAGTGCCTCTCCCTTCTACAGTCAATCGTCACTCCTCCCCATGGCCTCTGGAGATGTGCTCCCTGACTCCTGACACTATCAAGCCTTCATCCTCATCCTCCTTCAGTCTCTTGCCTCCTCGAGTCACCCCAGAGTTCGCTTTCTGTGTTAATAGCCACACAACCCAGCTGATCTCATCTGGAAAATAAATCTCAAACCTTCAAGTCTAGAATGCAAGATGTTCAACAGAGATGTGGCGCCAGCTCTCCAGCCTTCCTGTCCCTCCTCCCACTCTGCATTTTGCCACATTGGGCTACCTGTCACCCAGATCACACCTGTCCTTCCAAATCATCAAGGGATTCCATCAGAGCAGGCCAGCAAAGCTCGCTTGCTTACTGTCTGTAGGAAGATCCCTTACCCGTGACATAGAAGCCTCGAAAATCCTGTTTCTTTGCTCCAGACCAAAGCATTTAAAGTGTGCTCGGTAAACGCAGGTTCACCTTAACTAAATTCTATAGGGCAGTCCACCTTCCAAGCCGCTGACCCAGTTCTGTTTTAGAATCTCTCATTGTTACCAAGGGTGTGTCCTTCTGACCTACGCCCACCTCCTGCTAACCTTGCTCTTATTTGACTGGAGTCAGCCCACCCCAATTCAGGAGTCCCCCATGGCCACATCCGTCACACTGCACTGACATTTCTTTATCCCTGTTAGCTCCCTTCTTGATTCTCCTATGAAGGACCTGCCTTGCTCCTTGAAACCCCATGGCTTCTCCCAGGAAACAGGTGTCCATTTTATTTATTTATGTGTTTGTTTATTGGTTTGGTTTTGGTTTTGCTTTTTGAATCGAATTCTCATGTAGCCCAGACTGGCCTCAAACTCAATGGGGTGGCCTAAGGGTGGCCTTGAATTCCTGATCCCCCTCCCCCCCATCTCTACCTCCCAAGTTCCTTTTTTCTTACAGATTTTCAGTCATGACAGTCTGGTCCAAAGCCTGGGCTGCCTGCAGGTGACCACCACCAGGGTGCATCAGGGTGCTTGGATTCTGTCTCTAAGGCTTCAACTATCAACCATTTCTCTCTACCCAGCCTCAGGGCTCAGAAAAGAAGCCCCGAAGATGGATCTAGGGAAGGTGGAGCCCCCTACAGACGTCCGTGGCTCAAGTCGGGAGAGAACGCTTTGCATCTGATTTACAAACTGTTTCCTGGGCAACACGTGACTGTACAAGGCCCCATCCTCATTTTTGAAATTCTTCCTGTCTTCCCCATGCAGGTAGCTCTCTTGACTGCCTTCCTCTCCAGGTAATGATGTCCCACATCTGCCACGGCCCCCACCCCATCCTATACCACCCCCAAAGCTGAGCACCACACTGGATCTTGAACAGACCTCCATTACCTCACTTAACCTTGGCTCCCATAGTCATTAGAGGAAGGTTATTTTTTTTTTCACGTTCTTAACTTTGACCAGAAAAAGAATCTCTAGGCCCCATCATCTATTGTGGAATATGTTGGGAACTGCACGCTGGCAATTCGATCAGAGGCACAAACAGCCTTAATATCAGCAGAACTGAAAAGTACCCATGTATGAGGACTGGCCAGCTCACCATGAGAAGGCAACGACCCATTCCCCATGGAGTAAGGCACTCACCAACCACCTATATAAACCAGTCTCCCAACAAGATGAAATTTGGACATGAGTCCTGTCTTCTCCTTGAGCTAGCTACGTAAATAAAAACCCCTTCTGTCCCTCAGCATCTTGTCTCATGACGTAACTCTCCTGTTCCGTGGTGCGCAGCTAGACCTGGATCCACTCACACTCCCAAGACGCTGTCCTTCTCTAGGATGGACTAAGGTAGATACACACAATTCTAAAAAGTTGTAAGTTGGGCCTGAAGAGATGGCTTCGTGGTTAAGATCCAAGTTCTGTTCCCGACAGCTCACAGCCATCTGTAACTGCAACTCCAGAGGATGCTGTGACACCCTTTTCTGGCCTCCAAAGGCACCTTCACGCACGTGTCCAGACACACACACATACACTACACATAATAAAAATTAGTATTCGACAACAAAAAGAAGTTGTAAACTTGCACAGGGGGTGCACTGCATTGGTGATCTTAGCACTTGGGAGATGCAGACAGGAAGATGAGGTGCTTAAGCCATCCTTCCCTCAAGAAGCAAAACCAAGAGAAGTCATCTCTGGACGCACCATACCCTCCTCCTTCAGTTTGTAACCTGGGACTTAGCATCTTCACCTTCCGGCCCCTGGACTAGAGTGCAGGAGACTGGTACCAGGAATGACAGCAGAAAGTGCTTCAGGATAGTGTGGGGACTGACCAAGACCCCAGAGCAGGAAGGATATGCACTTTGCTGACAGAATCGAGTATCTACCATAATGGCTGGAGTGAGCACGGCCCCCACAGGCTCTTATGTTTGAACACTTGGTCCCCAGTTGATAGAACTATTTGGGAAGGATCAGAAAGTGTGGCTATGTTAGAGGAGGTGTGTCACTGGGGGTGGGCCTTGATGTTTCAAAAGTCCACGCCATTCTAGTTGGCTGTTGTCTTAACAAAGCTCTCAGCTCCTGCTCCAGTGTCATACCTGCTGGCCTACTGCCATGCTCCCCTCCATGATTGTTATGGACTCTACCCCTCTGAAACAGCAAGCCCAATAAACCCTTTCCTCTCTACGATCCCTTGGTCTCTTCGCAGCAATAGAATAGTCACTTAGACACCTACCAAGTACCAAGCAAACACTTGTCACTCAAGTGACACTCACCTCTGCCAAAGCTCCAAACAGACAGGTGAGATGTTAACCCCATCTTTCGGATGTTGAAACAGAGGCTCGTGGGTTCTAAGCTATCATCAGTTGAAGCTCACGCAGTGTGTCACACAGTTTGTGACAAGGCACAGAGTGCTTTTAGAAGTCTCACAACTGATGAACACAACCAGAATTCCAACACAGACTCCACTATTTGCCTCAGCCCAGGACCTGGACCCACCTGCTCTGGGCCACCTGTTCTGGGCCCACCTGCTCTGGGCCACCTGTTCTGAGCCCACCTGTTTTGGGCTCATCTGCTCTGAGTTCACCTGCTCTGGACCCACCTGTTCTGGATGAGTGCACCTGCTAGGGCCCACCTGCTTTGGACCCACCTGCTCTGCGCCCACTGCTCTGAGTTCACCTGCTCTGGGCCCACCTGCTCTGAGTTCACCTGCTCTGGGCCCACCTGCTCTAGACCCACCTGCTCTGGGACCCCATCTACTGTGGGCCCTGCCCTAGATACTGCTGCCGCCACATGCAAGGGCCTTGAGCTCTGACACAGCCAGAGAATGGCTCTCACAGAAATGGGGGCAGAAGGACAGTTTAGGGTAGAGGAAAAAGAAGAGAGTAAAGACGAAGAGAAAAAAGAAAAGGGAAGAGGTTGCTAGAGAGATGGCTCATCAGAAATGTTACATTCCCGGTCATCAGACATTACGAGTGTCTAATGTTCTTCCAAAGGACCCCAGTTTGGTCCCCAGCATCCATGCTGCATGGCTCACAACTACTTCAGGGATCCAACACTCTCCTCTGGACTCTGTGACACCTGTTTACATGTGACATACACACAGACACGTAAGTAAAATAATAAAAGGAAATTAAGAGAGAGAGAACACAAAGAAAAGAGGGAGGGGGAGGAAGGAGGAAGAGAGAGCTCTGGCCTAGCTTAGCCCTGCTCCTCCCAGTGACTAACTCAGTGGGCACTGGAGCGAGACTGGGGCCTGGCTGCATAGTTTCCAGGTTAGCACCTGGTTTCATTTAACTAGCTCTTCCCATCATGCCCTTCTTACCTTGGGGGTGGGTGTGGTTAGAGAGAGATCCCATGGTGCTCAGGACAGCCCCACGCCCCACCAAGAATTCCCACTGCTCAGGATCAGCAGTGCCAAGGCTGAGGAGGCCTGGTCCAGAGCCTCAGGTGACACTGCAGGGTGTCATTTATCCTTCCTGTCCTAGAGTCAAGGACCTGGGAGGGCAAGTAGGGGAGGACTACGGCTCCTCTCTTCCCTGGGGAACCCTCCTCCATTCCCAAGTTAGAGTCCAAAGCCAGGATCCCGACAGAACGTTCCTTCTCTCCATGCCCAAGCAGTCCAGAAGAGGCCTTTGAGACACTCTTGTCAGCTTGCGTTTGTCCCTCCTGTCAGGATTTAGAATGGGCTGGGGCTGGCTTGAGAAGGTCCCCTGGGGCTGAGAGACGTTCCCTCCAGTGGATAAGAGCACTTGGGTAAGCACAGGTACCTGAGTTCAGATCCCAGGGAAGAGCCAGGGCAGCCCTGTAACCCCAGCATTGAGGAAGACAGAGTTAGGAGCTACGGACCTCTCCCAGCCTAGCTCGAGGCTCAGTGAGACTGTCTCAAGGGAACAAGGTGGAGCGTGATAGAGAAGAACACTACATGTTCCTTTAGCCTCTGTGTACACATGGGCACGCATATGCATGCACACACATGCACATATGACACACACACATAAAGAAGAAAAAAGAAGGCGTGACTTTCTGAGCAGGGCAAACCCTCACATGGTATCAACGCAGGTCTTGCAGGAAGGCACTCTGCCCTTGCAAGTCCTCAGACCCACGGGTTACACGGGTTACACTCTGCCCTTGCAAGTCTTCAGACCCACGGGTTACACGGATTACACGGTATCACAGCTTGGAAAGCCAATTTCACCCACACAAGAACTTTTTTAAAATCCGCATTGCAATGACTTTTTCTAGGCGTGTGCTCTAACCACTGGAATACACGCTCAGCCCTGGCCCAGGCCGAGAGCCAGCCATTAGTCTCTCACTTTCTGGTAGCCTGCCTTGTGCCCTGATGAAATGCAAATTACATGGGGTGAGGCAGCCGGGAGTCTCCCCAGGACACCTGGTGCTGTGGAATGTGTCAGGGCTTTGCAGTTTGAAGGCTGAGCTCTGGCCCTATCTTGGTCCTTAACAGGTCAGGCAACCTTTGAGCTGCTGCAGAAGGGGTATAATCCGGCTATCAGCCTCGCCAGTTTGTCACAGAATGAGATGGAATGAGTTCAAATGGTAGCCCTACCTCACCAACTGAGTATAATCTCTGAGTATATTGTAACACTCTGTGCTACACATTGTTTTCCCCATGTGTAAAATAAGAAGAAACTCTCGCGACCAGAGAGACGGATGGCTCAGTAGATGAAGGTGCTTGTGGCTGAGCCTGACAACCTGAAATTAATCTCCAGTATGGTAGAAAGAGAGAAGCAACTTCTGCAAATTGTGTCTGACTTCTATATGTGTACTGTGGCATGCACACACAGACAGAGACACAGACACACAAAAAGGCATAGATACACACACAGACATACCACACTCAGACACACCACTCAGACACACCATACACAGACACATAGAGAGGTACAGACACAGAGGCACACACACAGAGAGACCCAGAAGGAGGTACACACACAGAGACACACAAAGAGGCACAGATACACCATACTCAGATGCACACACACAGAGACTCACACACACACACACACACACACACACACACACACACGTACCTAGATTTAAGCACTAATTTAGCAGATTTGTCTAGAATGCTAACTGAAAAGTCTGGAGGGCACCCTGCAGAAGCCAAGTGTAAAGGAATCAGAGGAATTGGACGGCAGCCTCCCCCTCTGCCCCCAGGGAGGGAACAAGTCAGGCAGGGGTCTTGTAAGCCAAGCCCCAGGCTCCACACATTTCAATTGCTTGCGATCTTGAACTGCCCAGCCCCAGCCCCTGACGTCATCTTACTCTCAGCATCCTTGACCACGGCCTTCCTTGATGGTGAAATGGGACTTGTGGTGGTCCGGGCTCCAGAGGCACCCAGGAGCTCTTGGGAGGGCACTGAGGGTGTCACCATCAGGGGCACTTGTATGGGGCCTGGGGCATTGTGATGCTCCTTACAGCGTAAACTCCCCTGTCTTCCCAGGAGGCCTTGTAGCCTTGACACTCTCCCTTCTTCCCTTGTACCGCTTAGAGCCCTCACAGAGTGGACAGTGGGTCCCCAGTGTGTCATAAGAAGCCATTGGCAGCTGGGGTGGTGGCACATGCCTTTCATGCCAGCACTCAGGAGGCAGAGGCAGGCGGATCTCTGTGAATTCAAGGCCAGCCTGGTCTACAAGAGCTAGTTCCAGGACAGCTAAGGCTGCTACACAGAGAAACAGAGAAACCCTGTCTCAAAAAAAAAAAAAAAAAAAAAAAAAAAAAAAAAAAAAGGCACTGGTTGAGAGGAAACAGACCCTCTCTCTTTCTTTTGGTTGGTTGTTATTTTGAAGATTAATTAACTTATTTTATGTGTATAAGTATTTTGCCTGTGTGTGTGTGTGTGTGTGTGTGTACCACAAGAATGCCTGGTACACAAGGAGGCCAGAAGAGGGCAGCGTGTCCTTGGAACAAGTCACCACTTGGGTGCTGGGAACTGAACACTGTCAACAAGTGCTCTGAACCGCTGAGCCATCTCTCCAGCCCTGAATGCTATGGTTCAGTGATGGCTCCCATCTATGCCAGGCTGCCTTCATAGATTCTTGCAATATAGTAGAATTTGTTCCTAAACCCTTGGCCCCTGCCTTCTGAGAGCATCTCTCTCTTCTCACTTACCTGTCCACATACCTTCTAATTACAGAAGTGGAAGACAAAGGGTCAGCAGAAAATTGTTGGGGACGGGGGATGAAGTATTGCCAGGTAGCAGGGAAATGGACCAGGCCTCCTGATCTGAGC